CAAACCAACCGCCACACCATGGTAAGGTCCAATCTCTTCGTGCGGAATCCCTATCAGGCCGGAATCCCGCTTGGTGCTCAAATCGGTGTCTCACGAGCCACCGTAAGGCGACGAAGCACAAGTACCACCAATAGTCTCGCTACGATCTGGGTCAAGCTCTATGGTTGCCACACTCACTACGAGGCTCTTTTTCGAAAATGGGCACTATCACCGACTCTCCCCAGTTGTAAATTAAAAAAACGAACAATCAGGCTGAAGCAAGGAAACTACCAAAGTAGAAGCCGCCGTCGCAACCAACCAGATTCAAGGGAGGCCACAACGAAACACAAACCGGAAACAAACCAACTGCCAACAGACCTGAAGCACCCCAAAGCAGCCATCCAAAAGATTAATGGAATAAGGGGCACACAGAACACAACGCAGCGAAAATCACGGTCGGTCATACAATAATGCAACAGAAGGTATATAACAACTAGCCAATCACCCGATAGGATATTAGATACTCTTCAAAAACTAGATAAACGCAGCTAAGCATGGAGGAAGCACCAATTCAACTATGCACTGATGATGTCTCCTTGACTGGGGACAAAACGTTTGCAAGCCAATCTCCAAGCTCGGCGAACAGATCGACTGCCATCTGATCAACTACCAGTTTTGAACCATTGGTGACCAAAGATCTGAAGATGTCTCAAGTCTTCCACTTGGAGTAGTCGAGCCTCACAGCCGTACAACAATACAGCCCTGCATCGTTGTCTGATGCACACATCCTCTGGCCCTCAGCGGCATGCATTTCTGATGCCATAATTGGCAGAAATTGGCCCTTGGTATAAGTGCATTGACTTTATCTGTTGCTCTGCCGTCAGAACTGACCGGGAGGTCAGCATCCCGATTGCTCCTGTCTAGACCCGCGCGACCTGACAGCATCTAAGCCCGCATGCTTCCTTCGGGTGGTGTGGCAGCTAGGCACCGAAATCTGAGCTAATGTTATTGCTATTATTATTAGTGTTCATTCAATTATCACGTTTCCCATCAATTTTGGAACCACTTTAGGAATTTTTTAGTTGTCTTCATTTTATTCCCTACTCAGCGATACCAATATCGTATTCATGAAATTTTACCGTCCTTTTTTCGATCCCTCCCCTTATCAGAGTGGTCAAGGAAGAGATATTCGATGACAATGCAGTCCTGCCTTGCTTCAATGGTCGTGTGGTTTCTTGGGTATGTTTTCAGTTTTCCTAAAATACTGTCCAAATAGAGTGCCTACGCACTCCACTTCATCTGATTGAAACCGGTGAATCTATGTGGTTTCCCGCTGTACTTATATCTTTATAAGTTACTGGTTCAATAAGGGCGAGATGGCTCAGTGGTTAGAGCGCGAATTTACTGACTGCAAGGTCCGTGATTCGAACCCGACCTCTGCCTCTCGGCTTCTCCTGTCGAGGGTTTGGCAACCTGGGGGTATCCCAGTCCTCGTGCTTTCTTCTGTGGTATGGCAGTTAGGCACTGAAGGGTTGCTACAGCTGAACCATTCTTCCACTGGTTCAGCTTGACAGGCTGCGTCTGTCTTTACATTAGCCACATTATTTATGAAGTACGAACAGTTGTGCAGTTAGCGGACTTGTGGCTCAAGAGGTAGTACACCGCGAGTTCGGTGCCGCCTGTCACCCACGATCTCCAGTAACTGACGCGTTTTGAATCATTTATTCGCCATTGATTATTTCTTTTGCGGTCCTTATTCCTTTACTTTCCGAAAAAAATCCCTTCGTGCCGGTTCCATCCATTTATGCCAAAATTTCGTGTTTTCAGTATCGTTAAGTGAATATTGGTAAAACTCCTTTTCAAGAAAAAAACGTGATTAGAAAAAAGTGGTTAAAATTTGAAGACTTGTTGGCCGATGTGGAGTCAGCTAGAGTCGGCAGTGAGCTGCCGACAAGATTCGATCCGTCTGCTATTTGAAAAAAGTTGTGTACGATCATCATCATCATCATTGTCAGCTGTAATAACCGCGTACTCGTCGTACAGTGGTTGTAGCGGCCGCAGTTTCGTTCACCGATGGTTTGGGGGAGGGGGTAGGTAGCTGCGCATTGCAGGCGGGAGCTGATAAATTGGTGCATAAATCCAGCACTGTCAGTGGGCTGTCAAGTAGTGAGGGGGTTGGAAAAGGAGCTATGCATTGAAGGCAATAGCTTGGATGCACGACCGCCATTGAGGGCGCGACTGGGCCATATCTAACAATGTCTCCAGCCATTGATGTGTCCCGTCTCGGGGTCCCCATCCAGGAAGACGGCAATTACCAGCGCAGCTGAGTTTGCTGGTAATGGCTTTCATACTTCGCTGCCAAGTCATTGGTTGACCGCCTCTGACTCTCTTCCACCCTTCGCGCGGTTGTGCGAAAATAGCCCTTCGAGGAAGTCGGTCGACTGGCATACGCAGCACGTGGCCAAGCCAGCGCAACCTGTGCAGTGTGGTCAGTTCATCTAACGAGAGTGAGTTATTTCTCCCAAATACCATTCGACGAACTTCAGAATTGCTGATCCGGTGTTCCCACCAGCATCGGGTAATGCTCCGAAGACATCGATGGTCAAACACTGAAAGTCTTTTGACGTCCTCGGCGCGCAGCGGCCAGGTTTCTTATCCATATAGTAATATGGAGCGCACCGCAGCATTATAAACTCGACCCTTGACAGAGAAGCTGATGTCACGCCTACGCTACAGGTGATGTAGGTTCACAAAAGCTGCTCTGGCCTTCCCAATCCGGATAGAAATATCATCTTTCGCGAGACCACCGGGACTGATACAGCTGCCCAGGTAAACAACTTTGTCTACTACCTAATCGGTTCATCCGCAAGCATGAGGCTAAGGTTGGAGCCCACCCAGTCTAGCAGTAGCACTATACACTTTGCAGGTGTGAAGCGCATGCCGAACTGCGAGGCAGAATTATTTAGATTATTTAATATTGTTTGCATGGTTCAATAAGACCACGTTTTAAATGCTCTGGATTGCCTGCTTGACACTCCGCTCTCAGAGCTCACCTTATGTATCTGACCCCCATGTTAATTCGATTTCCACCTAGGAATCATAGGCGACAGTTGATTTGTTTATTTTCATAACTTTTGAATAGTTCTCCATTCCTGGCTCCAGAGTGACTAATTATTCTGGACTCCAGTTTCGCGTTTATCGGATTTCAGCTACAGTTACTTTTACCGCCATTCAACCACGATATGCGGAAGGTTCAGTGACCCAGATCGGAAATAATTCTATCAGTGGACCAAAAAATATGGCTGCCTATCACAACATTATCCCCAGCCGTAATGATCGCTAGTGAGCGGTTAGGAGAAACGGCTGTTAAATAATACAAAAACCGCTTCACTTTACCCGGTGTACAAATCGATCTGGTCTTTCCCACATCCTCATTCCAGTCACTTTTCAACCATTGTAATCATGCCTTTTTGGAAACCAGGGTGTCGGTTTCTTAGAAGCAGAACCATAGCTGGTGTGGGTTGGTGTCGGCGAATCCGTAACGAGGCAGTTAGGAAGCGCGTTTTCGTTTGTGCAACGGGTACTTCCATTGAATACTGTGTCCAGCACCAGAAGCTACGTTGGTTGCGACATGTGTTGCGTATGCCGAACCATCTTTTGCCGAAGAGAATGCTGTTTTCCATGCCCAACTCAGAGTGGCGTAAACAGAGAGGTGGCCAACCCTCACTGTGTCTGATTGGAGACACTACAAGATATGGCTGCCGATCGATGTCAGTGGCATTCTTGTTGTCAGTTTCTATCCAGATCGCCTGAGTGAATGTCTGGAGGTATAGGCACCTCGGAATGACTGTGGTAAGCTAGCACTAAGTCCCTCCCCGTCCACCTTTACTCTTTTCTTTACAATAAGGCTTTCAAATAAACCATGGTTGCACGAAACGCTTGGGTGCAGTCGGTGCTACTCGCCTTCCAGGATGGGGACCGTGTGATCCTCACTGTGTCTGATTGGAGACACTACAAGATATGGCTGCCGATCGATGTCAGTGGCATTCTTGTTGTCAGTTTCTATCCAGATCGCCTGAGTGAATGTCTGGAGGTATAGGCACCTCGGAATGACTGTGGTAAGCTAGCACTAAGTCCCTCCCCGTCCACCTTTACTCTTTTCTTTACAATAAGGCTTTCAAATAAACCATGGTTGTACGGCAGTGAAGCATCGGCGTTGAACACTGATGTCATGCTGCCGATGATGAAGTGGAAGTTGAAAAGGGAAATCCTCTCATTGTATCTCCTTGGAAAGCGGAGCATTTGTGTGTTCGAAGTCAGTGACAGCACACAATTGTGATCAGTAGGCTTTTGTGTATCAGACGCCACCTACCTGTCTTCTACGTATTCCATAGAGCGTGCCATCTGAGTCATGCTGACGAGTTTTCTCACTTCTCTACAGCCCTCTGATTTTTGGAAAAGCACTTGCATGATGCACGACTTTTTACCAAAGTTGATTTGCCATTCTGCAAGTCCTTCACGCGTGGGTTGGGAATTCATCCATCCCCATTATCTGCCTATCAGCATGCACACAAAGCACTCCTCTCAGGGTCGAAACTGCATCCAACGGGCCAAATCTGGTTTTCTGATTCCCTCCAGACGACTGGCGAAATCCATTATCAGCTGATTACATATGATATATCTATTGATGCTTTTGTGCGCATAGACTATGCAAATTCTAGGACCATACACATATTCATTTGTCTCACTTTTAATTTTTAGCTGGTTACCACGGACAGTAGCACAATATCCGATTCTGGGACAACTGAACCGAAAGACGAGGCATTCCACCGCAATAAAATCACGATTGGCGGGCCGGATTCTACGGGCCATGGACTACGGTGAGTGTTGCACCAAATTTCACCACCCTGAACTTCTGACTCAGTGTGTGTGGTATTGTCCGCTTTGCTCAGGTGAAGTGTATTCACTTGAACTTTGTTACTGCTGGGGGGTTTTAGTAGCTCGTATCGGTTTATTATTCACCATGTTGGGTAAGTTGGTTGCATCCACTTAAGTGAAGAATTTGAATACCAATGCTAGCGAAAAGACAGGGCATTGTTTCAATTAGGAAGACCGTGTAACTGTTGGTCAGAAATGTTCGGCAGACTCGTATCCTGTGAAGGGTAGTCGGTGATAGTCAATTCCCAACTCAATGTTCGCACTCGACTCGTTTGGGCGAGATGGCTCAAGTGGTTAGAGCGCTAATTTACTGACCGGGAGGTCCGTGGTTCGAACCCGATCTCCGCCCCTCCACTCCCCTTGTTTAGGCTTGGGAAATCTGGCAGTATCTCAGCCCTCGTGCAGCCTTCGGGTGGCATGGCAGCTAGGCACCTATTACTCAACTCGTTCTGTAAAGTCGATATAAATTCAGCCAACCCCAACAAAACTGATAAATTTGATTAAATTGACGGCAGTATAGGCTCATTTGGGAATTTTTCTGACAGGTCAGCATAATCGTCAGCGTTACTACCGCTAGTGCTAAGTCGCTGTGCAGCCATAGAAAAAGAAATATGTGGTAAGGAATTAAAAGAAAGAAGGGAATTAGTTCTAAGAGTCCTCAGTGGTTTTGGACTAAACCCAACTTCTGAGATCGATAGGGACTCTGTGTTTTTGGATGCAAGTAAATTCGTCGGAATGGAAGGAACCAAGGCAAGGACTGTGCTCGGGACTGCGCTCAGAACCTTACTTACCTACTTATATCATGACTATCGATCTTCGTTTCCCTGCCTTGGTTAAACTGACACTTGGTGTGTGTGTGTGTGTGTTGCTGTCGATCTGTGCAGCCATAGAAAAAGAAATATGTGGTAAGGAATTAAAAGAAAGAAGGGAATTAGTTCTAAGAGTCCTCAGTGGTTTTGGACTAAACCCAACTTCTGAGATCGATAGGGACTCTGTGTTTTTGGATGCAAGTAAATTCGTCGGAATGGAAGGAACCAAGGCAAGGACTGTGCTCGGGACTGCGCTCAGAACCTTACTTACCTACTTATATCATGACTATCGATCTTCGTTTCCCTGCCTTGGTTAAACTGACACTTGGTGTGTGTGTGTGTGTGTGTGCTGTCGATTGGTTGACATGTACCTCATTTCGGTCGCGTGACTGGTAAATTCAATTCCAGCATGCTTCATTAGTTGCAAACCTCAGTCTCGCGACAAAAAGCGTACAACAACAGGTGCGTTATTTTTCAGCAGTCGTTATGAATCGATGTTGTTGACTATGTGAGATAATCAGTTCGAATAGTCCTGTATAATGACTCAACCCGACTATCGGTTACCAGGTCGTCCAAATCAACGTTAAGTTCATTCTCATCTTTTGTAATGCATATTTTAGTCGGGACAAAGCCGAATTACCCCGTACTGCCTTCATTGTTTGAGCATCCTGTTGGACTTGTCTCTGTCCCGTCACTCTGAGCGTTTCCGAAGCTACTGACCTACTTGAAAGGTAGTCTTGCGCGTATTGCAGAGCAAGGCCTCTGGTGATCAGTATCAAACCTAGCTGAGCTGTTATGTAGACGTGCTTTGAGGTTAACTTGAGTTCACGTCTGATCTCATTAGAAAAACAAACCATAAATATTGCGCCTTATGCTACCACGACCACAGCGTATTCTACAAATTACCACTCCCTCATCCTAGGGTCTTCAAATTTCAAACATGCCTACCCGAGACCGGGCGCTTTCTGTTTGGACGTGCAAATCCACAGGAATATCATATAACGTGAAATGTGGGTACCGAGCACCATTACAATTAAATCGGCTGTTTCTCTAAAAAATACAAGTCTCCTTATTTTTCATTTACTGATATCCGACTCAGTGGCGTGCCTTTTATGGAAAAAGGTCTCAGTCTAATGCCTGCAATTCCTTCGTGGTTTCCGCCTTCGAATCCCCGATCATGTGAAAGATATGGTTTCCTTCTTATACCTTCCTCGCTATGATTATGTTACGTGTCAACGGGACGGTCAATTGCTATGAGCAACGCAGAGCGAGCGCACGAATCCCCAGCTACGATACTAGTCCAACCACTCCTCACGCAGAAGAAAAGACGAAACTTTTAGAGGAGTGATCATCATCATCGACAGCATGACATCAGTGTTCAACGCCGATGCTTCACTGCCGTACAACCATGACTTATTTGAAAGCCTTATTGTAAAGAAAAGAGTAAAGGTGGACGGGGAGGGACTTAGTGCTGGCTTAACACAATCATTCCGAGGTGCCTATACCTCCAGACATTCACTCAGGCGATCTGGATAGAAACTGACAACAAGAACGCCACTCACATCGGTTGGCAGCCATATCTTGTATTGTCTCCAACCAGGCAGAATGAGAATCACGCGGTCCCCATCCTGGAAGGCGAGTAGCACCGACAGCACCCAAGCGTTTCGTGATCTCCTTCGTACTTCTCTGCCAAGTCAGGGATTGGCCACCTCTCTGTTTACGCCACTCTGAGTTGGGCATGGAAAACAGCACTCTCTTCAGCAAAAGATGGTTCGGCATACGCAACACATGTCCCAACCAACGTATATATATATATAAACCAATATGAAAGAAACGCGCGGAAAATCTTAATTCAGATATCAGGAAATTAACTTGTCAGTAATTCAACAATCAAAGGGTTTTTGGGATACTGTCGTTGCTGTACCTACTCACACATTCTTCATACAGATGGAATCTGAGCTGACTGCTGACAATAGGATCTTAAGTCAGACAAGTGCCGAGCCATGGAAATGTGTTTTTGATTTGGAAATTGGAAGCCATCGCTGGACTGGGGTGATCTTGCTTCGAACAACTCAAAACTCACGGGTATGTTTGTCGGTTCGTGCCCCATAACTCAAATTTGGAATTACTGTCTGGCCATTGGAAAGAAGGTTCTATGCATTGTTTGTTAGATAACAAACTTCTTGGCTTTTCTATGGGAAAAAATCACTTTTCAAGGCACGAAATTTCGAACTGCCCAAGAAAATGCGGTTACTTCACTAGAGGTGGGAAATCTCAGAAATCGTATTGGTAGTACTTGCTCTGCATTTCCCTTGGGATGAAGCCCGGCCAGAATCGACGCTGCTTACTCCAAGGAATGCATAGTTTTCATTCGCTACTTGAAGGAATTCGCCCTCCGATCATGCATTATCGCGATGGAAATCCGTAAATTACCAAGTGCGTTTATCCTATCTTCAGTCTTTTTTGCACTCGCAATATATATCGCTCCAGGGTTTTGAATTGCGCCCCTTTCCGTCGTACTGCTTCGAGCATCCTTTGAAACGTGCGGGACCTACGAGCTGGTTCGGTTAAATAACCGTGGATCGAACTATCCTGCACTGAAGTGCAGGTGAAGACTATAAACTTTTAGGTCGTGTTTTGTGTCCTCTAATTAACATACACTCTCGTTAGGCGATTTCCAACCTGTAGAACTTGTGGAAATCACTTTATTGAGAATTCTTTCCATTCATTCATTCATTCATTCATTCATTCATTCCATCCATCCATCCACCCATCCATCTTTTCAATCCATCTCAGTAATATCTAGCGCCGGAAAGGTAGAATAGATTTACCTGGTCTGCTTTGACCGGAACTTAGTAAAACAAATAAAATCGTAAGTGAGAGGTTCAGTGGAGTCTCGCGTAAAAACAAACTGATATGCAAATGAGTGCATGCGTCGAAATCTCTCTAATTAGGGTTCAAGCATAACATAAAGCTGACGGAGATTCGGGGACTGTGTCTACCTGATGAACCCCAAGAAGGGCGAAACCGGTCATGGGTGGTCGAAGAGTTTTCAGCAACCTTGTGAGTATTTCCCTTTCTGAAAATATGCTGAGATATCTGGAATATCGTACCTGCTGAAACATGAGTGGCCTTTGTGCTGCACATTCAGTTGAAGAACAACATAAACGAGAGATTCAATTGAGCCTCCCGTGAAAACCAATTTTATATGCAAATTAGTGCATCTGTCGAAGGTCGATATTTCTTTCTGGTTGACCTACTGAGTCAATCTTGGATGACTCACGTTCTCACCTATTCCTCAAGAACTCTTATCACAATACATTCTTCCCTATCCGTTCCATTTTGACTCTGTTTGATAAGTGATATGATCCTACAAGAACCTTTTTTCAGCTTGAACATCATTCCGCCTTCTCCAGCTGTTTCAATTCTCGGTCGATCGATATAATCTTTGTCAGTTTGACAAAGACACCTACCTTGGTCCCTGTAATGTTCACTGGTCTTCTTTTTTGCCGCCGTCCTTGGACAACACCCTTTAGGTCGCACACATACACACACGTGCATACATGGTCTTTGGCGTAGCGTGTAGTCGCTGTGCCACATGTTGGTTTGTAAGACAGTAACAGTAGCAGAATGAGTAAAAAAATCTGACGTGGACAGTAAGGTTCATGCTGACATCCCGCCCATGAAGCGACGGTCGGAGCATGACCGATAGTAGGAGAAAAATGCACGGTTGCGTTTTTGAATGCAATTCAGCGGATGTGTAGTCTCCTAAGGCGGACTGAGCGTGCTCAGGCCTTGCGCGACATTATACTTGCTTAATTAGCTACTAGTCTGCAGATTAATCGATCGGATTGAGGACCTCCTTCACAATTTTGCCATCCGCATTGCAGTATGCGTGTCCAACCATTACAGTCTTCGCTGATGCCAGTACCCGCTTGATCCTTCGCTTGACTGTTCAGCAAGCGGTGCTAAACGGGGTATTTTCAATACATGTGCCGTCTCGATATGGGTGTCTTCCAGAGCGGGCGTTGGTTTCGGATTGCTCAATCATTCGAAGGGACCTTTTGTCTCAGATACGTTTATCATGGTTCGAGCTTAGTGGCGTATTCCTGTTTCTCGTTCAGTGCAGGACTGAGGCTTTTCAGGTTGTCCCACAGCAAAGCGTTACCGTCCGCGTACTCCAGGTAAACGAAATGAGCATTCGGCCTATTTTTCACATATAGTCTGGACATCATTATCCGATATCCAACTGATTTCGAAAGTCTAATAAAGTATTGCACACCCCGGTAACCTTAAAATCCAGACCCTGTTGCTTTATGGAGGTAGAACTCCAGGTGATTGCATCCTTCGATGCGTTAAAGTCTCCATATTTAGTACCGTTCCTAGAGAGGCCGTCACTTCTTGTCGTAGACGGCATCATTCGGATGAGTTGTCCAATATGATCCATTTGCGATCACAGTCATAATATTTGTCTGGAAATCCACTCTATCGACAAATGATGGTGTCCATTTTGGCAGACACTGCCTGTCAAGTGGACTGTTTCAGCGTATCGATTGAATTCGAGGGATGGTTGTCTGGTATGACCTCTGTACTTGTAAGGTTGGTTTTAGTCGCCTCGCCTGTCTACACTGCTTTTGCGTGTGCTTCGTTTTTCAGGCGTTCCGGTCCTTATGATTGGGGGGAGGGTAACGCTTCGAATGAATTTTTAAAGGTACTTTGAACTCCTCGTCAACCAGTGTTTGAAACAAATTTAGGGCCTTGATGGAAGGCGTCTTGTTCTATCGGACTCGAATACAATCCAGCAGGCTGTTTGCCTATCGAAGAAGATTCTTCGTGACAGAGATCCTTCAGAAGCTTGCCAAGGCCGCTTGTGCCAACGACAAGCTATGAAGACGGACAATGGCACACGATTATTCACAAAACCTACAATCAACTTATGGATACTACTGAGATACTGAAACCGTACCCTGTAAGATAAGTAATGATACAGGCGGTACGGGAGACTATGAGATACGAGCATTGCTGGTATTTTCGCTCTGCACGAATCCCATCCAGTGTTGACGGGAATTATCCTCTGGCCCGGAGACATTGACGCGTTTATCTCACAAGTGACTAGACAGACCTTGAAGTATTTGGTCTGTCGGATTATAATCTCATCCAATACGCTCAGGGAAGCCTTCCGTGAACTTGAAATTGATTCGATTTTAAGAAAAAATCGAATCGAAAGATAAGGACCGAGATGGTCCAAGTGGTCAGAGCGCGAATTTACTGACCGGAAGGTCCGTGGTTCGCATCCGACCTCTGTCTCTCGACTTCCTCTGTCTAGGCTTGGGCAACCTGGCAGTATCCCAGCCCTCGTGCTTCCTTCGGGTTGCATGGCAGCTAGGCACCGAAATGGTGCTACAGCTGAACGATTTTAAGAAAAGCATTCGTTGTCCAGTTAGTTGTTTTTCCCTTCGTATCCCTGTCTAATGTACATGCTTTTATACATCTGACTCCAGGGATGACGCCCACAGTACGACGAAACCAGCCCAACACAACCATACAACGGCAGCCCCAGCGGATTCCACCTCGGCCAGTCTGAGCACATGTGGGAATGCACTTCAAAGCGCTGATCCGGATAACGAGTCGGTTCACAGTGCTGGTCAAGGTTAGTATGAACCTTTTATGCGTGTCCACCGTTCACTTCCCGGTTCCCTTTTCTCATATATGTATTGGAAAAGTACAAATCTGAACCAACTATATTGCCATTTTTCACAGCAATGTGACCGGATTTTTCCTGAGTTCACACTACTTTTTTACATCGCTCATTGGTTTATGTTTATCTCTTTCACGTTTCTTCTAGATCGAATTGCTCCACTCAGAAGTTTTCACAACTACAAATCAGGTTCGTTCGGTCGCTCTTGTGTTCTTTTGCCACTCACCAGTGTCCTTATTCCGCATGTTCACAACTATTCAGTCACATTCCGCAAACAAGTGCTACTCCATGGATTTTCACATTTTCGTTCTCCGTTCTTCGCCGGAGCGATGTCATACAGAACCGAAATGAGCTATTATAGGCCTTTGATGGCGTTTCTCACCTTTCTATCGCATGTCATATGGTTGTCCAAACCAGTGTACTGTGGTATCGGTTCAGAGATAGGGAACCGAAGTCTCTGGTTGGCGCTAGTTCTCATGGCTTCAGTTTCGCAGTTTTATCCAATACTTCTGCAAGATGCTCCAAATAAGCCCAAAAGGAATGTCCACGCTTGGCCAGCTCGAAGATCTCTCGTAAAAACTCATTTGGCTTCAGAACCTCGTGGTTCCTCGGCATTTTATGGTGACAAGTTGATTCTGTCACATCTCATGACACATTCCAAGATGAACAAACCGAAGTACCAAAGTATCAAACTGCATAAATTTCCATTCACGTTCACCACTTGTACTACCTTGTAACTCGGAGTCTATGTTTTGTCCATACTCGACTAGGCCCGATGGGAAAAACACTAGTATCTTGAAGCTGAGGTCCGGGATTTCATACGTTACCTCAGTACAACCTGTGCGAATTTTACTTCGGTTACCTTCCGAATATCTCCGATTTTGATCTCGGAGTACAGGCGTTGTTTCTGCTCGTTGGTGCAATCCCTTGAAAGTGGGTCTGAGTGCAAATCCAGAATTCTGACTGGCTGATATGGCGCTTTTGTGAAATGTCTTGTTCGTTCGTTTGCACTGTTTGTCTTTCTAAATGGTCGATCCGAATCCTGCTCACGGCTTATTTCCCTCTTTGCGTTTTGCGTTTTCCGGGTGCTTTCTGTTACCCCTTTGTTTGTTTTTCTTTGTTTCTTGTGCGGTTATGTGCTACATGATTCCGAGCTTGTTTTTCCTCAGAATTCGATAAATTAGGCCGACCCCAATACGTTGGTTGATGGATTTTTTTACATTAAGTACCACACCATAAATTCACGTTCCTTCGTTGTTGTTTGGGCCCGTCTATGGAGTTGGTCTCTGTTCTTCTTGCTTTCCATGCACGTAGTCCAGCGAAAGCCGGTCGTGTCCCTTAACGCCAACTTGCTTCTCGTTTAGTCTTATAAATAACCTCTTTCCTGTTTGTACCTTTGCATCGAACTTTATCTAATGTTGGCTTTTCTCGTAACCTACAGTTTGATTGATTGGTCGATTGATGGATTTTCGTTTTTGTTGTACTTTCCGAAGTGTGTTCGTGGGCCTTTAGGCTACCGTCGTAAGATGTTTGCAGTCATTTCATACGTGTTTTTGATATAAGGGAGTATAATTCCATATATCAACGCTACATACTGGCTCAATCGACAACGAAGATGGGATGCGAAGAAAATTCATCAACAAGTATAATATTCGGATTGACACAATCTAACGTCCTCTGAAGGCATATGAGCTCCAGAATTATCTAACACAGCCGCACGAAAAAAAAAAAACAGAGAAAGGACCAATAGGAAATGCCAACAATACGGGAAACTTAAAGGGGAAAACAAGCCGCTAACTGGAATCAGATCAATAGCTCAGAACAACACTGACGATTGGACAAGAAATTGCGCAAGTGTCACATGAACCAGTCAGATTCCCGAAACCCTAACCACAGCGCAACAGAACTTGAGAGTGGGCCAACCAAACGAGGAAATATAGATTGTATCCAGTTGATTAGTCAAATGGTAGAAAGGTAGATTGAAACGCAAGACATAGTAAACGCAAAGGGCCACCCGAAATGAAGGTACAGAACTACTAAATGAAGATATCCAACGAACCAATCAGATGAGGTAAATCGGACCAAATGAATCGCACCTGGGCGAAATTTCCAACAATCAGCCAGGTTGGAGTTGTGAGATACACTTCAGAAACCCTGTAAACGCAAGCAGATCAGGAAGAATTGTCCACACGATAGCGCACTCCAACTACCATTATCTCGGTACATTATGGATGTCCGACTGTTTTGTGGACTTGCGAAGTGTTTCTACTGCCTGGAATTACTTAATAACCGCGGACCTAGCATCTTGGCTGCTTCTGTCTAGACGTGTGCAACGTGTCAGCCCTTATGCATGATAGCGACAAATGTGCCGATAAGAATAGCGCTGTGGATTGACGGTGGTGTTGTGATGTAACCTCTCCAACGACAGCAACAGACCAGTACAGCTGCGCCGTTGGTATATCCACGTGAAACTTATGTGTTATCGGACGATAAGGAGCCACCTGACTGTTTTGATGTGAAGAATCATGTGTCTGACTGTGCATACACCGGTTTTGGGACGGGACAGGGGGTTCAACGGTGACTCACCTCTACGTGTTCAGATACCGGGCTGATATCAGGCAAGGGTATGCAATACCACAGTTGCGTGCTCGGTGTCTGTAAAACGAGCGAAATAACGGTAGTCATTTGTTTGCATTGTTGTTTGTTCCTCCCATGGCTGTCATGTCACTCAGCATACTTGACCTCAAAACGAGTATATATATTTTTTCAATGGTTAAGGTCAGACAGCAACTTGCCCCCACTCTAATGCTACTTTTAATTTATCGAAAAAAATCAATCGACAATGGGAGACGGAATAGTTTAATACCACGGAAACACATGAAATTTACTTCACCGAACATCCGAATGTCCACTCACGAGGTTAACTACCAAAATATAAACAATACTGCCAGAAATGACATACATAGGGAAGCGTTTCCAAACGTCCTGAGACGGATCAAGATTTTCCATCGTTTCTATCAATAGATTATGAAACTTAATTACTTCGACCACAAGTCTGACTAAAACGAAGTTTTCTTAAGTCTGTCATTTATGGCACTCCGCGGAGATCTGCAATAAGAGATTCGCATCCTCTCGGTAATTTCGTGTGTGGTATGAATTTAATCGAGATTTTTTCTGTGGGGACAAGTTTAAAATGCAAGCCTCATTTCGCATTTAAATGAGAGGTTGCCGATCTGCTTTGAATGGCCTGATGCAACTAATATAGCCCAAAGCAACTGTGCTTCTGAACGTGACGCTCAGCTGCTCCCCATAAACTTAAATCATGGGAAATCTTTAGGACTTCTCAATACACTGGAGATTATTCGGTAAAATAAATCCTTTAGTTAGCGAATATACACTCATTTGCAAACTAATTTGGTTTTTCGAGAGACTCACCTGGAACCCAGCTGAATCTCTCGTTTATGATGTTCTCAGGCAACTGAATGTGCTGCACCAGGTCGCCTCATGTTTCACCCGCTACGATATTCGAGATATCGCGATACATGTATATCTATGTAATGTCCTACTCATAAGGTTGCTGAAAATCCATCGACAGCCCACGACCGGTTTCGCCCTTCTTGGGGCTCATCAGGTAGGCGCAGTCCCCGGGTTTCCTTTAGTTTATATTTGATGAGTTTCAATTAAATACATCAGGAAATTGAAATTGTCAGTGGGAATCGTCGTTCCGAAAAGCGAACACAGTAAAAGGTGGAAGCGTTTAGCGCACTTTAAAATATTATCTATCAACCATATCGCAAAGAAAGCGACAGGGACTGTTCATCCTTCCATCAGTTATTTGACTCGGGACTTTTTGAGTGATAAAGGGTCTTTCACACCTAGGAATGTCAGTGTATAGAGGTATGCACTTTACCCTTAACCCAAGTAGTGCATGAATATAACAGGTAACGTTTTGCTAATTTATTAATTATCAGTAGTAGTAGTAGTGGTTAGAGGGCGAATTTACTGACTGGAAGGTCCGTGGTTCGTATCCAACCTCTGACTCTCGATTTCCCCTGTCTGGCAGTATCCCAGCCCTCGTGCCTCCTTCGTGTGGCATGGCAGCTAGACACCGAAAGGGTGCTACAGCTGGACGACAGTCACGCCACTCCTATTGCTCAACTTCTAACAACTTGCTTAGACTGATTCGGTCATCCTCTATTTACTGCGACTTGTTTCCTTTTATCCCCTACCATCTTGGTAGGATCACCGGAGTGGGGCACATTCGCAAGTGTGCGTGACACGATCAATTATCGTAATCAATAATGGTTTGTTTAGGCTTGAGTTTGCGCTTTTTCAGTGATTCTACCTTCTAGTTACCAACGAAAGCACAGAGTTCCATCTCAGAAGAATGTTGTTTAGCTCCCCCCATCTTTGATTCCTATGAATTTCTGTATATCAACTGTAAACCCGATGTAGTAATGGGAATTTGTCCAGTATGACCCAAGGGAAACCCACAAGAATATTTAAGAAACAGGATATCTTGTAGATAAGTTTCATAAGTGCCTTTTGTCATTTTTCTGGGTAACAAAATCGCTTTTAAATTTGTGATCCGTGTAGGTAGGCATGCTATAATAGATGTTTTAGGCCTCTTTCAGGAATGGATTTGCGAGTCCATGAAAACAGCGGTCGTCATGACAAAGCAGTTTTCTGAATTGACCTGACCTATTCAGCTTAGTGCAGTAGATGTACCATTTTGTCTCATACGAATGTATCTGCCCGAAGTGAATTTGGACTCTGAACCTCTTGTTATTCACTGTATGAAAGCATCAATCCTGTCCCATAAGTGTGGGAACTTGTCTTTATAAAACTACGCGGTGGCCCGTTAGCGGTTGCCTGAAAACACTGCTCACACGCCGAATACACAGCCCAACCTAACGAGCTAGCTGCGTGCGCAATAGTGCTCCAGTGGCAATTATTCTCTGGAATGAACATCCTTCTTGACATTGCTGGTATTCCTTCGCTCCTCTTGTTTCACCTGCGAAGAACAGATGTTTGACGCTGCGTGAACTGCTTCACAGTAGTGTACGAGACAGGCATTCATTCACAGATGCCGGTAAAACTAGTCTCGAGCACCTACGCGTGGTATTAGTAAATATAATTTCGCTAACCTAAAGCTGCAGGGAGGTGACCTGTGCTTTCGCTCCGCTGTAACGTAAGCTTCTTGGCCAAGTTGATCAGAAAAGTTTTCCTTTTTACTTAGCATTTCCCGCAGTGTCCTCCAATGCCAAAGATCACTCAGCCAAAGTAAAGTTCGCTTTAGTTTTGGGTGTAAGTAACTTTGCGACAGAAGACATTTATCTTGATTGAGTAGTCCCAATTAACGCTTGTGCAGTCGTGAATCATCGGAACTTTTTCAAGGTAAATTACCCGTAAATAACCAACTGATGTGAAAATGAAAACCGATTTCTTCTCTCTAAAGGCGTTCGTATGATTTTGCGGGCGGGAGAACGACCATTTGAGAACCCTTATATCAGAGAGTAGCACGCACCACGTTAACCAACAAGAACTAATTTTCAGCACCGTTTAAATCTGTTAGTTAAGGGGGATCTCATTGGGTCTTCGTATCCCGGTCATCCTGGCTACTTATCCACTTGACCTGACAAAACTTTTGTACTGAACTGTGTTCAGTAGACTGCTCTAGGTTGCAACATCTGATACAAACAACTTAGCAGGTTAGATCCACCTGATCGAAATCAAATCACTCCGTTCACTAGGTTTGGAATTATTAGATAAAGTGTGGGTGGTGGAGTTCGTTGTCTGGCGTGTTCCTGTTGTGTTGCACACGGTACAGTGCTTCTCAGGTTTTCAGCATAGATTTGCAGGATGAATTCTCTGGGTCTACGTATCCTTGTACCGATTTGTGCTTTCCCAGTCTTGTTTTGTGTGTCCTGTGAGAGCTGAAATGGGTGTTATTCGTGACGCTGTTTAGAAACCTTCAATTGCGAAGCTGCTGCCAAATGGTGAAGAACAACCTTTAATTTGTAGTATCTAACTACTACTCTCTACTACTTTAACCCCAGATGTCCGTGTGGCTCTGTGAACCAATTTGAAACTGATGGGAACTGAAAATACTCAAAGTTAGCGCTCAGTATTCTAGCAATTTTGGGTGCGACATATGAAGATTCGAACGCAGTGGTAGCCTGTGGATCTGAAGCTTTTTAACGTGCCATATAACAAAATCAAGCGTCGTCCTACTGACTACGTCGCAGCGGAACCCTGCACCCATTGTCTCGTACACCATTGCTATGTACTTCAACGTGGGATTATATATAAGCAACTGTTAGACAACACCGATTAGTCTTTACCGTCGGATAATCTACCCCTGGTTGGTTGCAAGATCCACACAGATGTTGCGTGGAAAACAAAATCCCCCGACTTTTTTGTAACAATGTGACATGCCTCATTGATTCATCGTCGTGTCTGACGGATCAGGGCTCACTTAATCTAAGAAACTATTTGGTAGCCTTATCCACCAGTTAGTTAAATGTTTCACGAAGAATGGCTCTGTGGTTAGAGCGCAAACTTACGGACTAGGATGTCCGTGGTTCGAACCCGACCTCTGACTCTCGACTTCCCCTACCTAGGCTTGGGCAGCCTAGCGGTTAGGCACAGAAAGGGTGATACAGCTGAACGATTTTTCACGAATCACATACGATGCGAGGTTGGGTACTGCGCACCCTAGTTGTCCGATTATCGCCATTACCTATGTGGCGTTGGCTCACGAAATTTTCGTTTTATTTGAGACGAATTGGACGTTGTGTGCCTCTGATCCCGCCTGGTGCAGACCGATTTCTTAAGTATTGCTCTTCGTCTTTCCGATGTCAACTGTCACCGGCTGCGCCGTCTTCTGTATGCTAACATTGGCATCCCCATGGAATACGAATTGGACACGCTGTTCCAACCATTATGCCATTGCAGCTGGTTTAGACGAAGTGCTTGGGCCAGGCATGTGGCTCAAACCCTCCATCCTTTAATCCCTTGCTTAACGGATTTGTCCACTGGTGCCTGTCTTTAATGAGGATAATGTTTTCATTCGGCCCCATAATGGTTGTACAATGCGTTCATAGTCTAATAAGTGCGCCTGGCCACTTTGGCAGCATCAGATACTTGTTCCAACTCCTTCCTGCGCTTTGTGCTCACCTCATGTAGAGAGGTAATGCTTGTATATTCTCCTAAGCTTTGCTTCGAAAAAAAGAGTTGCAAAACACAATGACACTGATAGAGGTATGTGACTTTCCTAATTGGTTCACAACACTTTCGGATCGCGCAAGTAAGGGCTGCGTCCTCTGTCTTCCAGTCGCTATTGTTTCCACCCAGCTGTTTCCATATACCGGTTCGTAACGCTCGTTGCTCGTGGTTACGCCAGACTACCGCAGCGATAGCAACGTGCCTTTTGAATGTTCACTACGCCATTACAAGAAAGTAAATAGCATTGTTTATTGACCGCGGAACAATGCTATTTTCAGTGGGATTAACATGTTTGTTTTGTTGACGACAGAATATTTGTCATCTCCCATTTTCTATCTTCTAAATCCCTATGTCTATTGTCCGATTGCATATAGAATAATCACAAAAGTCAAGGTCAAATTTACACTTTCACATCAGATGTGAAGAAAAAGCCAACCCTTTTGTTGTCATACATAATATCTCCATGAGCAAATTAGTGCTGTTTTCGCAATGCCCTGTTTTGTTTTGTTTTCTGATGGCTGGGCTACATGGCCACGCCCGACTTGATGTCTGCACATTTTCATCATTTGTCCGGTTATGGTCCTTTTTACTTTCCATTCTCAATGACGTAATCCACGTTATAGGCCACCTAAATCATCCCCTAAAGTTTACCTATGGATTGATAGCCGCCTCATTGGAAAGCCAAAGCCTTCCATTGAGGTATGACACGGAAGTCCACCAGAAAGCCAACCTGAGGGTGTCGTCCTCCCCTTACAGACTAGCTAGTGATATCAGATCACATGACTGTTATGCGAATCTTTCGGTGTCAGTCAGAATGGGTACATTTGCTGTTAAGAGTCGGTGCCTGCCTCCCACGGCTCATGAGCAGTCCCACCGCCGTACGATTAGCAGTCAGTTGTCATTGCCAGGAACCTGAAATTTGTCTTTCTTCTTCCTTGTTCCTCTTCCTTTGGTTTGTTGATGCTTTTTGTCTATCCGAAATATGATGCCCACTTTGACTAATTGGCTCTTTATGTATGACACGCGGAAGATAACCTAACCCACTGTTCTTACGTCTGCTCTACTAATTAGCTCAGGGATGAGATCTCAAGGTAGCGACCAGGTGGTCCCTTTTTTTGGCACCTCTTCCGGGTTTTTGGGCACTCCGCAACCTCACAATATCTCAAGTTTTTATTCTGGAATACAAATTGTCTAGTCTTTCCGAAGTCGCCCTTGGATGGAGCTACCGCACCCGTGTTTTGGTTTTGTTGTTGGTACCGCTGTATTTTTGATTCCGTGCTGCAGACCGATGGCGGGATACCTCATCAAAGGGGATCAGACTCACCTATGTACATGTTGCCCTTGTATCAGAAAATTCCTTTTTTTGGTAACCCGTTGGATGTAAGCACCAATAGACCCTCATTATAGTTGTTTTCTTTCTAGGTGGTAGACTGCACTTATCTCGTGGAACTGCCCCATGTGGCCATCACAACGGACACTACGGATCGACAGGTGGTGGAAGCGGGGGTCGGCATCGACACCATCGGATTTACGGAACTTGTGGTCCACCGACGGGCAATGGAACTTATGAAACTCCCCAGTCAATGCTCAGCTCTGACGTGGAATCAACCAGCTTTTTCGACTCTGAAGACGAGTCCAGTCGGTCAGTCATTGTTGTCCCTTCAACTATGTTGTACAACCGCTCAGATTCTTTTTCCAAATTCCTGACTGCAATACTTGTTTCGAATGATAATGGTCCACCAACAGTGAAAACACAGTTCCCCGTGTCACTTCCCTCAGGCTTGGTAAAAGAGCTTAACTGGGACTGCTGCAGCGATCGGACTCTCAATCCACTGCAGTCAATCTGTCTTTCTATCTTATATTTTAGGGTGCCTCCTCAGTCGTTTGCTGGTGTTGTTTTGTGGAGATCAACGGTTCACTATCCTATGGAAAATAGGGGCTCACTTGCCCCCATTTCTGCCATGCGAGAGCTTACTGAATGTTGGTACTTCGGCGGATTGTAGACCTGCCGTCCAATTAGAGCCAAGCAGTTTTTATCATTTCGAAGCATTCTGGCTTGATGTTTATTGGCTAGTCGCTAGGATAAGTACGTCGTAAAGCGAGCAGGCATTGAACGGGCTACAAATGCTGTGACGTTTCGGGTCGCCTACCGCATGCTTACCCAAAGGTTTTAGTGTGCCGTCTGCCAGAGATGTTCAGTCTAGCGCAGCCGATCTTGGGACATCAGAAGCGAAATTTCCTGCGAGTATGCACCTGGGGAAGACGTTTTAGAAACAATAGCATCCAATTGTTAGTGTAACTGAGACACAAAACAGACAAGTCACGTGCATAGCTGGCTAGTTTTGCGAGCAATTCACAGTTTGATGGAGCCCTGTATGTGTGAATCACGCTCAGGACACCAAAAGGCAAATAAATGCTCGTTTGTTCGGACTCGTAAGTACCGCTCTCTCACTCCATTGTAACTACCACTTCACCCCATACACTTGCAAAAAATCTTGAGACTTATTAGACCGAGACCACTGTCTTTGATCAAAGGCGCTGAAAATTGTTTTTCGGAGAACTATGATGCTTTGAACAGCGCAAGTTATTCGGTTTGCGGCCAGTGCAAGAACTTTAAGTACTACTGAACTGGCATTGTCACTATTTTGAAGCGGTTGCATGAAAACAGGTTTGCACTCATCGCCTTATACCGATTATCTCGTTGCTTATACTTCACTTTCCGATGAACCGATCTGGTTAGTCAGCTCTACACGATAAAACCATCAAGATGTCATTCTCTTGGACAAGCGTCGCCGTATCACGAGTTTCTCAAGGGGCCTTGTTTACGGGTTGGCAGCTTAGTTCACCTCCCGTAAGTCAACTTCAATGGCACTCCTCACTGGAACCCTACGTGTTTCAAATTAACTTGACATCTGTAAGTCTTTGAGCCTCACCAATAAGTAGTCACTCAAAAATTTGTGGAATAAGGTATTGTTCATCGTCATTCTAACGCAAGCTGTGCTCATGAGGCCAACAACAATTTCACAGGTCTCACTAACCGGTACAGCAAATTTTAAAGGTCCACACACTAGATATGGGTGGACGAAAATGTCACTTGGTTTTGCAAGTTACGATCTTCCTCTCCGAAATCAGCCTTGTGATACTTGTTGCTGCTGTAGAACCGCGTGCTTACCGTTAAATGGTTCTAGCTGCCACCCGATGATTGGGGTAGACGGGGCATGCAGCCGCGCATTGAAGGCGGGAGCTGATATTGATGCTTAAATACAGGGTTATCAATCGACTTTCAATCAGGGAGATTGACCGGGGAGCTTTGCACAGAAGGAAATAGTTTGGATGCATGACCGCCACTGAGGGCGCGACTGGGCCATGTCTGACAATGTCTAACTAATGATGTGTCCCGTCTCGGGGTAGCCATCCAGAGAGACGGCAATGACCAGCGCAGCTGAGTCTGCCGGTAATGGCTTTCATATTTCGCTGCCAAGTCATTGTTTGACCTCTCACACCGTACACGCGGTTGTGCGAAGGATAAGACCAGAGAGGACCGTCTATACACAGCCTATCAAGCTGATTCCACGGTGGTTTTCACATATCGTCCGCGTACCCTTTTTGAAGACAGAAATAACTGTCGACATGCCTAATTCTATAGGTACTTTCTCTTCGTTCCATATCGCACCATTAAGCTTTGTTTGATGAGTCACCAGGGATTCTTCGCCTTCTTTGAACGGGACTGAGTAAAGACCGTCTGTTCCTGGTGCCTTCTCATGTCTAAGTACGGATATTTTGAGCTTCATTTCTTCTTATGACGGGCGATTTACGTTTAGGTTCCATCCGCCCTGACGCACTCCATCCAGAGGTTGTGTCGCAGGAGGCTAACTAAATTGTTCTTCGAAGCGATTGTCCATCTTTCCAGTCGACGATTTTTTGAATGAATTAATAGGACCGTCTATACGCAGCCTATCAAGCTGATTCCACGGTGGTTTTCACATATCGTCCGCGTACCCTTTTTGAAGACAGAAATAACTGTCGACATGCCTAATTCTATAGGTACTTTCTCTTCGTTCCATATCGCACCATTAAGCTTTGTTTGATGAGTCACCAGGGATTCTTCGCCTTCTTTGAACGGGACTGAGTAAAGACCGTCTGTTCCTGGTGCCTTCTCATGTCTAAGTACGGATATTTTGAGCTTCATTTCTTCTTATGACGGGCGATTTACGTTTAGGTTCCATCCGCCCTGACGCACTCCATCCAGAGGTTGTGTCGCAGGAGGCTAACTAAATTGTTCTTCGAAGCGATTGTCCATCTTTCCAGTCGACGATTTTCTGAATGAATTAATAAGCCGTCTTTTTCACTTATCGTTTCACTGACCTTTGGTAGGATAACAGGAGTGTCAGGGCAGGGTGATGCAGGGCAGGTCGGCCAGACGGAGCACGAACGCGAATGAATAACTTGGAGTGACACAAGCTATCGGGCCAAATGGCCAGTGTGGCAAAGGGAATGGTAGGTACGAACGCCGCGACGGAGAAAATCAATAGGCATACACGTTGGTGAGATATTTTCGAGCTGTGAGGTTAGATTCAATAAAGGTATCGTTTTTTGTGTTTCTCGAGCATTTGTGATGCAAGCAGTTAATAATCGGAAGGAACATTAAAACGAGGAAGAGAGAATTACTTGAAACTAGGTTGGGCGATGTTCTCTGTGAAGTATTATAGGATAATCGGGGTCTGTTTTGGCTTGTTTTCGTTTTCGTTCAACCGGATAGATGTCGTCTCGGCATATAGTTCCGGTGATTACCTAGAATTTAAAAGGTTTCAGTAGGATTGGCTGTGTGATTGCAGTGGATGGATCAACTGCATGGCAGTTGAATTAAGACCAGGCTTATTGTTTCGATGGCTAAATCAAACTGGGGAATGTCTGTAGATTCGATCAGTCAATATCAGCGCATGATGCCTTCTGCCGATAAAGTTGGGGCTTGTGCGTCATGACAGATTGCCTAATAACGCCTGAAGTCTAGGTTTCGATCGAAATATTACCCGTGAAAAATAAACAGTCCGACGCCAATCGACTGTTTAAGCCATTGCATCCAGTGCATGTTTGTCCCACACTCCCCTTGGCAAATGAACATGTATCGGCTTGAATCACTGTACTTTGTTTCATAGCTGGATTTCCAGAGTTTCTAATCGGTCAAGCTCCAAAGTTGCACCGACTTCGGTGACTTTCTTGTCTCGCTAATTTATTTTGGAACAATGAGGTTCTACATCGAAGACAAGTCACGGCTACTTAGTGTGCACCCTAAATCTTCTGTCTCGGTCAAACAATTGTGGCACTATTTTTACATACATCTCCACTCCTATTTTAACACATGGGTCTTCGCACTTCAGCATGCTAGTTAGTTCACCGAGGACAGCTATACCTGGTTTATTTCGGCCCACCAAAATTTTAATATCGCCCTACTTGGATGTTCAATGGGTGTTCGATCGTGATGTTTACGAGGGAACATCGGATCGACTGTTAGTCTGTCCCCATCTTGCTGACCGTGCGGTCTGTACCATATTGTGTTATTCGGCAAAAGCCTGTCCACACTCACACCGGTCAACATGTCGAGCAGATCACGGCCTCTATTGTGTGAAGCAATAGTGCCCTATCTCTCTTTTATGACTCGGGACCTGCTGGCATTTGCCAGCATCCTCACCTGCCAATTGCAAGTACAAGCCTGGCGAAGCGAAATTCAAGGTACTCGGTCCGAGAAGTAGTGCTAACATATTTGGGTGGTTCAGCTGCGGTCGCGATAAAGTTAAGTTTGGAAGACGATTGATTATAATAACTGGTACCGGTCTGTTCTTCTTGAGACGCTTGCCCACCAAGGAATGTCCCGGAAGTTTGTAAACATAATACGTTCTTTGTATTCTCAGACTTCCGGACGAGTGAGAGAGTACAGAGAGCTCTCCAAAAGCTTCCGCACACAATGCGGTGTCCGTCAGGAATTCCCGCTCTCTCCATTCCTTTCTAACTTTGTGATCGATGAAATACTGAGACGAACGCTGGAGGGTCTTCAAAACCCTGGTGTTCAAATAGCCAGTGAAGAAAACCTTGTCGATCTGGAATATGCAGACGACATCGTTCTCATGTTCGAAGAGGCGGAGAAGGCGCAAGTATT